ATAGAACTTGTCCCCACTGCATGGCCGTCCAGCGTAGACGCTATCTGCACCACTGTAGACATGCTTGACGGTGGTTTCCTGTCAAAATGGGACGTCTAGCGGGTCTTCTGACGACAATGCCTGCACATCTGAGGCGACGACGTACGGTTTGAGAAGATATTAGTCGAAGGCCAGGGATGCTTCTTGCAGTCACTGTTGCTGGCTGGAATCGATTTCGTAGGTGTGTTGTTCGAATCCAGTTGTCTCGTCGATTATTGGTTACGCGTGGCCTGCCACTCCGAGGATGGTCTCTCTGACTGCATTCGTCTGTTGTCAACGTTGCCATAAAAACCAAATGGTGTTTCTGTGGACGTTAAATTGTTTTGCAACATCACGTTGACTCGATCCTGCTTCAAGCATACCAATGGCTCGCAGACGCTCATTTTCGGACAGGCGTGGCATTTCGTACTGTTGTATAATTGCGTAATTTTGTTGTTTTTCTGAGTGGTTGTTGTCAGTACGATGCTAAACAATGCATATGGAATCCCGTTAACGCACGTTTTTATACCCATTCTTTGGTAGTGAAATGCATGGGGCTTGCATAAAAGTAAACTTTTGCATGGAATGCATGCTTTTCTGTAGCAGTTGCGTTTTTGTGACTTGATTCCATACATGTACTACAATATTGAAAACCAAACTTTACTTGTTCGAAAAATACACTAAAATATTGTTGTCACAGGAATTTTTGTTGTTGAGCATAATATTACTTAGTTGTTTGACGGAACTGTCCTTGCCTTGACACTGGCTTGTTGTTTAAACAGTGTCTAAATGCAGTCACTGCTCCACCCTGCAGATCTCAAAATAGTCTGCAAATGCACTTTGTCACAAGCAGCTGATCTAACACCATGTGGAGTGATGATTGACATGTTTATGTTTGCCCTTATTAACACATTTCTGATCCATCTGCAAATAGTCCTTTTTTTACCCGTTTTGGGGCGCCTTTTAAAAACTAAATGATGAGTGGTCTCTGGACGCATGCTGATCAAAATAAGACACTATTAATGTCACAACACACACTTGGATCTGAGAATCCGTGAATCCCTTTGATGTTAAGCAGGTCGGGATTGTTTCAGCAAATCCCCAAATCTTCCTTTTACACTATTATCTGTGATATCTATATTCCTACAGGCAATCAAATTAAGTTCAAGTCTAATGTATTACGGTGAGCACTGCATTGATATTGTGATGTAAGGTAAGCTGCATTTATTTCAAACTGGTTGATGTGTTTGTCTTGCACCACAGTCCACCAGTGTTGGTCCATCCACACACTACTCCCGACCCCACCCCTAATGTGAACCCCAGATTGAACAAACAGAAGCTGTTTACTATTTTCAATGGTTAAATGGTAATTAGTCCTGGTATTGTTTATCCACCAGAAAAAAATCACTTTTACATTGACTTTAGTTGTAACATCAAAGTTTCGCCTCTTGCAAGCAGTTATTATTTCAATATATTTCTAGTTGTTTAAAAATACGGTTGCATTTTTCATGCCACATCCCCTAGCATGAAGATTTCCAATCAAAGTTGCGAACTCACGAAAGGACAACGGACATCTCCTGAGGAAAGCTTTACACTCTGTCTCAGCCTTTTCCCTAGTAAGAGTAACCGTTATGTTTTCCCAAATATATCATCACTCTTGGTGGACACAACACTGACTTTTCATGATGCACTGTAAACCTTCACGGTGTCCAGCAGCTGTACTGTTTCATAAACATTCTGTGAACAGTGCTGCTCGTCTTCCCCATTGAGTAACGAGTTGGTCAATGTAAGCTGTATTTTAGAAATCATACGGTCTAACGTAAGAAAAAAGGAACCAAAGTTAAAACAAGTTAACCTGTAGTTTGGAAGTCCTAACAAAGTGGGGTAAGGTTGGGGCAAAATATAAATCAGTTCTAAGACAAAACTCATAACCAGCCTCCCTCTATGATAAATAACCAGCCCAAAAGTTAAGTTTTGTTAATGCCATTTATTGCTGTTTGTGTCATGAGCATCGATCCAAGCAATTTAGATACGATGACATGCATCAGCGAGCCTGATCACCCGATCCCGTTAGTCGCCTCTTACGGCAAGCATTGTCGCCTCCCGCTCTTTAGTATGTTTGTATCCTAGTTTATCGTCCGTTTACATGTCAAACCCCCAGCTTTTAGGCATCTTATCGTGACCCACAACATCCTTTATCTTAGACATGTTGGATTGTATGGGTAGCCCCTCTTTAACAGTTTTGGCAAGATCATCACACACATTGCCAGCCGTTTTTGCCGTCACCGAAAACATCTTAATTCATTGATCATCTGGTGATTGGCAGACTCACGATCTTCATTTTCCGATTGATTGCCGTGGGTATCCTCTTTGGGTTTTGTCAGTAACAAATCAAAGGAATCCTCTTCCTCCAAGTTATTTCTTCTGGACTCTTCGTGATGGGTGTCCCAGGTTCGTGGATTCCTGTAGAACTTGGCACAGTCTATGTCTGTTCGGATTCCCTGAGTCGAGGCGTTTGGCTGCGGAGGCTTAATATAGCCAAGGTCATGCTAATCTGCATCAGTGTTTTTGCGTGCGATTGTATTTGGGTCCTCATCATCGCCTCTAACGGTTCCGGCTGTCCTGGCTCGGTAATTTTGCACTGTCAGCCAAATTATTTTCTCTGCCCTTTAGGGACGCCAGAGACGGCATTATGTTGGCTTGATAATTATCATGTTGTTTGCACTGAATTGATATGATATCTTGTCATAAAGGTATCCGGTCTTGGCACTGGTAGATTTTCTGGCGAAATATCTTTTCTCAGGACCATCTTGTGTATACCATTTTATTCTTCGTGGAGGATCTTGTTGCCAGGAGTCAACTAGGAAACAGGGGAGACTCAAGTAATTGGAGAGACAAGGAAGCCCATGCAGTAATTCTGGTGTTTTTCAGATGTAACCAAGGTATTGGGGTTTGGGGTTTGGGATTGGGGTGGTGGGGTTGGGGGTGTTATAGTCCTCTGTAATGTAATACATTAACCAAAGGTTACCAACAGTCAATTCACGTCATAACATATGCCAACTTTGTTGAAATAGGAAAGTATAACAAGGTTGTGAATACTCAACATTGAAGAACATCCATCATAACACAGTTGCATACATGTTAAAGCTAACTGTCCACTGGGTTTGTTTATTCTATTATGGTTCTGTTCTGAAGTACAAAACCTTCCAAATGGAGTGCTGGATTTCTTGGGGAATTAGTCAGCAAAGAGCCAGAGTCACAGGAGACATATTACAATTTTATTTACAAGAAACATGAACAATAAAGAATATCTTAACTATAGCTGTGGATGCTGCAGAGTCGGTACACCCTCTGGGCTGTGGGAGAGAGGTCTGCTTGGTATGAGCGTCAAAACCCTGCCTAACATCTTGCTTCTGTATCTATTTAACAAAGATTAGAACAATAAAAAGGAATATGATTGGTTGATACATAATTGGGTGTGCCCTATAGTAAATGAATGGTTAGACATAGGGGAAAACTTAATCCTGTTAATCCTGTTGGACTAATCTTGTCGATTTATTTCATGGGTGCTTGGAAAGTGTGTGAGTGAGTTGGGTTTTACACAGCTTTTAACAGTATTCCAGTTATACCACAGCGTGTCAGCTTAATGTGGGAGGAAAGCCCGAAGTGATGCAGGTCTCAGACGTTTACCACTTCGGTGAAACGCACGATTACGGGTATGGTGCTGACAAACCTAGAAACATAATCGGGGCAAATTCGAACCCACAATCATAGGTTTCTGGCGTGTCCAAGGGACGCAACTCTGCACAGCGAATTGCGGCGCCTTAGGCGACTGGGCCACCCGTGCCCCCGGGTGCTTGGAAAGAGATTATGGTATCACAATAGACAAGCTTGTATGGGGCTAATCTAAAGTCTAAATTGAAGTAATTACTGAATGTTATTCTAATATAGGTAATGACATATTTACTTTAACAGGGGCGGTCGGGTAGCCTAGTGGTTAAAGCGTTAGCTCGTCACGCCGAAGACCCTAGTTCGATTCCCGACATGGGTACAATGTGTGAAGCCCATTTCTGGTGTACCCCGCCGTGATAATGCTGGAATATTGCTTAAAGCGGCGTAAAACCATACTCACTCACTTTACTTAAATAAAATAGTTCAAGGCAATCTATAAAACTATGTAGACATAACTTTTGTCTTATAGAGTAGTATGTCTGGGAGATGGGATCTTGTTACCTCAGGCTAGTATTTAAAAGCTTTAAATCTATTAAACTATGTAGACATAACTTTTGTCTCATTGAATAGAATGTCTGGGAGATGGGTTCCCATTACCTTTGGAAACTACTAATATTTTGTATCTGATTTTTTCCTGATACCTAATATCTTGCTGTTCTAAAATTATACGAAATCTGGTATAAATGTTAAACCATGATAACTTATAAATTCACTTGCTGTGTATCTTATTATAATATGAAAACTTAGAAATAAATGTTATATCATGATAACTCCATTGTTACACAAATGTAGCTAGTCTTTCATGACTGTACCACCATAGGAATGAGTGAGTTGTGTTTTACTGCGCTTTTAGCAATATCACCATGGAAACCAGAAACGGGCTTCACACATTGTATAGATGTGGGGAATCAAACCTGCAACTTCAGCGTGAAGAGCGAACGCCTTAACCACTAGGCTACCCAACCGGCCCCAAAACAATAACATACTGGAAACAGGGGGCATGGGTGTGATGGTGTCTAGATACCAGAGTCATTCTGCGCTACTTTTCTCAAATAGTGTATAGTTCCCCAATATGGGGCATGGGTGACCTAATCGTCTGAGGCGCCTCAATTCGCTGTGCAGAGTTGTGTCCTTTGGGCACGCCAGAAACCTATGATTGTGGGTTCGAATCCAGGTTCGGTTCGATTATATTTCTAGGTTTGTCAGCTCCATACCTGTGCTTGTGAACTGGAATACTGTTAAAAGCTGTGTTAAACCCAACTCACTCACTCACTCACTCATACCCCAAAATCATGTACATGTGTACACACCATTGTAAAACCATATATATATATATATATACACATACATATATATACATATATATAAATGAAAACACATATAAACTTGTCATGCGATAACAAATACATAGAAAACATAACAAAGAACGTGTGTTCTTTCATGGTTCACCAATGAGATACAGACAGACATTTCACCAAAATTGTCAGTGGTCATAGGCCCACTGCAGAGTCTATAATTGAACAATGCTTGTTCCCAAGATTGTGCATTTCAGTGACAGGAAGGTCTGGGAACCTTCTTCTAAAATAACAATGGTCTTGGACAATTCATTGTTGGCAAACTGTATTTCTGTGATATTTTTCAGGCATGTTGAATATTTCTGAATTGGAGAACACCTGTCTTTGTGTATGTCCTTGAAGTCATAATTATGATCACAAATGCCTTTTAAAATCAATGAGTACCATCCCTTCCTGTTGACTTTATCCCTATAGGCTTCATGGGTAACTATGACCAGAATATCGGTTCCATAAATAGCCCCTTCAGAGTTTGGAGAGGACAGTTTTCCTGGAATCCATAGATCACATCAGCCAGATCAAGCTCTCTGGAATTTGTGTCAAGTAAATCCTGCATAATGCTGCAACAGACATCATGGACTGCACTGAAAACATTTGTTTTTTTCAACACCAAAAAGGATTCCAGTAGTGCTGTTCTCTCATGTTGAAGCCAGCCAATACAAAGCAATGACAACCATTTACTCTACCCCGGTTTCATTCAGTGCGTCATTAGGTTTTCAACACAATGATTCATTTTTGGTTCGGCTGCTATACAAACATAATTTGATGTGAGTAACATGTAAAATACCACTCCCTAGATTGTGTCTCATGAGAACTATTCAATAACACCAAGCAACCATTCGACCACAACCCATTGTATGTAAGCAACCATTCGACCACAACCCATTGTACGTAAGCAACCATTCGACCACAACCCATTGTAAGTAACCTGCTGTATGACAGCACAATATTGTACAATGTGCAGATATTATGGATATATCTACTGAGAACATGATCTAATGAGACCAGCTGTGCTTGAATACACAACTAATGGCATCAAGAAAATATATTGCACCATATAAAAACTACCTGTGTTATTAATAATTAGTTGAAAGCACTTGGCATTTTATATACAAAATGTATTCATAAACAAAAACTACTGGATTAGTTGTTTTTCTTAAAAAAGTTTCTTCATACGAAAAGCTAGGGCGTTGTCTTTTTCTGTCCAAGAGGCTGGGAGATGTAAGTAAGATCATCAACTCTACACACTGTGACACAAGGCTGCATTACCAAAGACGTAAGAAAGCAATAAAATACAGTTACATATACATGATATAAGGAAAGGACATTCCAGTCATTACTATATGCACATGATGCTGTTTCAGTTTGTTCTTTAATGCCTGTTATTTATCAAAAGCAGCAAAGAAATAAATACATCCACTTATTGTGAATGTGAAAGGACTTCATGAGTGTGAATTTTTATTTTTTTTAAATCCGTTAACTGTCAAAATCTATTTCAGTGGAATGTTATGGGCTCAGAATATTTCTGCTAGTATAAATGCTGGTCATTTGTGATAAAAGCAAGGGTAACAGTTTCTTCACAATCACAAAAGAGCCATTAACAAAACACCACACATGAACATGTTGAATGAACCATTACCTATACCCTATCAATGATAAAGCCTTAAAAAATATTAAGGTGAGTAAAACGTTCCTTAAATAATGGTTAAAAAGCATGTGTGTGTATTTTCTGTTTAACATCACACACGGCAATACTCACAACCTAATGCTTAATATTATGAGCAATGATCCATGCAGTCACGGTATGCTGACATGCCATCAGCCAAGTCACCGAGTCTGACCACCCCACCAAATCCATTAGGTTGCCAGGGGCTGATTCTAACCCATGTCCCCACAGGTTCCCAATTTAATTTCCTCTCACAAATCATTGAAATGACAATGGGTGCCTGGGACTCATTCTACCCAGATCCTCAGTGGGGTGCACATCATGGGCCGCCCCTATGTACCCCGTAACATCATCAAGACTACACACAACATTACAAATATACCCACATGACACCGAAACAAGAAGAAATAAAAGTATAATATCTGTCCAAAATTAAACAGGTTCTGGTAAAAACAAACATAGGAAAGAGATTTCCCCCTGTTATGATATCTTTACTAATGTAGGAAATGCATCTTGAGCCAAAATCAGGGATGTCAGATTAATGTCACTTCCATTTTTGAAATGATTCTTTTGATAAAATTTTGCTCCAATCATATAAATTTGATCAGTACAGTTACATAATTATAAGGCTCTTTAAGTTTAACACATGCCTTGCTTACTTCTTCTACTGAAGTGCAAGGTACTTCTGCTGAAGTCCAAGGAAGAGAGTGAGCGAGGGAGATGCTGCCTTGAATAGTATTTCAGTTATATCACCGTGTGTTACGGAGTGGACTGGGATGTGCTAGTGCTTGGAAGACTGGTCAGGGAAGAGAGAGCTGTATGCTGGGGGGGCTTCATAAGGTCTGGACGGTGGAGGAGCCTCCCAGGAGGCTGAGGGTACAGGTTGAGAAGGCGACTCTGCTGGTTCCCGGTATGGTGACTGTGCTGGTTCCCGGTATGTTGACTGTGCTGGTTCCCGGTATGGTGACTGTGCTGGTTCCCGGTATGGTGACTGTGCTGGTTCCCGGTATGGTGGCTGTGCAGGTACTCGGTATGGTGACTGTGCTGGTTTCCGGTATGGTGACTGTGCTGGTTCCCGGTATGGTGACTCTGCTGGTTCCCAGTATGAGTGCTGTGCTGGTTCTCGATAGGGTGGCTGTGCTGGTTCCCGGTATGAGTGCTGTGCTGGTTCCCGGTATGAAGGCTGTGCTGGTTCCTGGTATGCCGGCTGTGCTGGTTCCCGGTATGGTGACTGTGCTGGTTCCCGGTATGGTGAATGTGATGGTTCCCGGTATGGTGACTGTGCTGGTTCCCGGTATGAAGGCTGTGCTGGTTCCCGGTATGAAGGCTGTGCTGGTTCCTGGTATGGTGGCTGTGCGGGTTCCTGGTATGGTGACTGTGCGGGTTCCTGGTATGGTGGCTGTGCTGGTTCCCGGTATGGTGATTGTGCTGGTTCCCGGTATGGTGACTGTGCTGGTTCCCGGTATGTTGACTGTGCTGGTTCCCGGTATGGTGACTGTGCTGGTTCCCGGTATGGTGACTGTGCTGGTTCCCGGTATGGTGGCTGTGCTGGTTCCCGGTATGGTGACTCTGCTGGTTCCCGGTATGAAGGCTGTGCTGGTTCCCGGTATGGTGGCTGTGCGGGTTCCTGGTATGATGACTGTGCTGGTTCCCGGTATGGTGGCTGTGCTGGTTCCCGGTATGGTGACTGTGCTGGTTCCCGGTATGGTGACTGTGCTGGTTCCCGGTATGGTGACTGTGCTGGTTCCCGGTATGAAGGCTGTGCTGGTTCCCGGTATGGTGGCTGTGCTGGTTCCCGGTATGAAGGCTGTGCTGGTTCCCGGTATGGTGACTGTGCTGGTTCCCGGTATGAAGGCTGTGCTGGTTCACTGTATGGTGGCTGTGCTGGTTCACTGAATTCCAGTGGGGGAGAGGCTGAGGGTTGAGGCATCGACTCATTTTCTCCCCCCACTTCCTCCTCCCTGCCAGTGTCAAACAAAGGGGTATCCGCATCCAAAACATAATTCCTGGAATTGTTTTCTGGTGTAATAGGACCACTATTCTGTGAGGGTGACAGATGGGTTTGTGCCGCTGGCAGCATCTCGAGGTCATTGCTATCGTCATCACTGTATTCACTGGGTGTATTCTGTCTCTGGCACCACTTGAACACACACACCACAACAAAAAGGGACACAACAATTCCAGCACCAATGGCAAGTTTTTCAGGTAGACTTCTCCCTTCATCTTCTGATGCATCCTTCTCTGGCCCTACAATGACAATCCCAACTGTCAGGCAAAATATACAGACTAGACAAGACAAGTATGCAGAAAATATCAATGCTTCTTCGTTTAATTGTTTAATGCTCTAAAAAAAATCTGGACCAGATAAAACAGTGATTGACAGTATGAGCATTAAACCCTGTCATCTTTGAGTACAATGACACACTATCAACAAAGCCACAAAGCCTGACCATAGGCGCCTCTTGCTGGGGACAAATTCTAACCCAGAATCTCAAAGTGTGGGGTTAGAGGCTAAAAACAATAAGGTGTACATGTAAATGTTTGCTTTTTTAAATTCTTTCAAAATACCAGTAGCTTTAGCTTCTAGTGAATTCGTAACTTATTCATTGTCCATATAAAGGTCTCTAGCATACCAGGATGGTGGAGTTGGGCATGGTACTTATTAGGGCTGGGACAGTGCAGATTTACTACCCAGGTACCCAAACCCGTACACGGGTACCCGCTGTAGGTCTCATGGGATACCGGTACAAAATGTCCAATTGAGAATAGTTTCACCGTAGCCCTGAAAAAAATGTGTTTTAGTACACTATAAAATGATCTGGCCATGCACACACAGAAGTTGACGGAAGTTTTATCTGTATTGAAACATGTGAAATCAGATGTAATGCATGGATAGTTAAAAAGAAATGCTAACATTTGTGACTAGCAGTGTAAACATGGAGTTATAGTGATATTTTGTCATTAAACTATATATCACGTGACTAACCACGGGTCCTGGTAGTACTGTGGGTACCCGGGTCTTACTCAGGACTCATCCGACCCGTGTACCCGAGTTACCTAGTACTTATGGTACCTTGCAATGTAAAGAAGAGAAATCTTACACCCAACTTCCATATTATTAAGCTCTCTTTGTTTCCTGCCAGGTTGTTTGACTAACCTACACAAAGAGAGTAATTCAGTCAAGTCTTACTGTCACATGGGCAAAACTGCCTGCCAATTTCATGACAGTTAATAAAATACAAAAACTTTTTAACAAAAATCCTACAATGAGCACTGATCTAGTTCTGACAGCTTTATGTGTTATCCTATAGTAGCTTGTTATCAGTGATCAGAGTACTGGATGCTGGACCTGATCCAGTGATGACGCTGTCTTATTGTTACACCCCCTGTAGCGACTTCCAGCTCAGCCCCATTGATTTCAATACATTTCACTAGACTGTGTTTGGGACTAGTGGCTGAAGGGGCAGACTGACTTGTATGTGTCACATACATTTAGTAGTAGCAGTAGTTGTTGTTGGGCACAATCCTGTCTGTCTGTCGCACCTGCTGCAGTCTCCAGTACAGGACAGGTCACACTGATCACCGTACAAGAGAGGCTCACACCCATATGTGCAGTGGCCAGTATCCCCATCACACCGGCTGTCCACACATCCTGTACTGCACTGATGGACACACATTGTCTTGGGGCCATAGTGCCCGCGTCTGCAGGACGCACACTGTCCATCGCGACACCTACACTGGCGGGGACACTCTGCAGAAGAGGAACTCATACTTCAGATTTGCTATTTGTTCCATAACAGGGGTCAATGTGCATATTCATATATGTACATAATATATATATGCAAAGAAAAAGGTAAAGCACACCCTAATATATTTCATTATTATTTGGTCTCAATATTTGTAACAGTCATGAAAGATATAATTACGGGAAGAATTGTTTTCTTGAGATGATGTAATCAGTCATGCGTGACGAAAAGCTCGGTATGCCCGTGCAGCATGCTACCCTTGAGTATCTCTAAAAGCAGTATATCCAAACGTTAAAATTGCTTTCTTAAGCTCGGTTTTATTCCATGACATTGTGTCACCAGGACACGAAGGCGATCATCAAACACCACAAAGTACCTGTGTTACCATGATGTTTATGTCAGTAAATTTCAATCACAACTCACCAATTTACTTGTTGTTAAATGTTTGTTCTATCTGATGACATTTGTATCGCCAAGCTCCTGTGGTCAGTCATCCCATGCCATGATTTTTGCCATTTGTCATGGTTCAGAAATAGGTGTGTACTTAACATTTTTCTTTGTATATACATTCATGTATCTAGGCGATAATATACATTCATGTATGTAGGTGAAAATATACATTACTTCAGATAAAATATCTGTAAGGAAGTGAGGGAAAAGCAAAATGTTTCAATGAGTGTTTTAATATTTACAAGAAAAACATGAAATATTTTAACTTTTGGCCAAACAGAGCAGAGCAACCAATGTTATTAAGATGAGGTGATTTGTGCGGAGAAGATATATTTGAAACAGAAAGGGTGTGTATGTGGAGAAAACCTTAAACAGAAAGGGTTATGTGTAGAGAAGATTTGGAAAAGCAAGGATTATCTGCAGAGAAGACATGGAAAAGAAAGGGTTATGTGAAGAGAAGACTTGGAACAGAGGGGCTGTTTTTGTAGAGAAGACTTTGTACAGAGGGGATGTTTGTGTAGAGAAGACTTGGTACAGAGGGGCTGTTTGTGTAGAGAAGACTTGGAACAGAGGGGGTGTTTGTGTAGAGAAGACTTGGAACAGAGGGGGTGTTTGTGTAGAGAAGACTTGGAACAGAGGGGCTGTTTGTGTAGAGAAGACTTGGAACAGAGGGGGTGTTTGTGTAGAGAAGACTTGGAACAGAGGGGATGTTTGTGTAGAGAAGACTTGGTACAGAGGGGCTGTTTGTGTAGAGAAGACTTGGAACAGAGGGGCTGTTTGTGTAGAGAAGACTTGGAACAGAGGGGGTGTTTGTGTAGAGAAGACTTGGAACAGAGGGGATGTTTGTGTAGAGAAGACTTGGTACAGAGGGGATGTTTGTGTAGAGAAGACTTGGAACAGAGGGGGTGTTTGTGTAGAGAAGACTTGGAACAGAGGGGGTGTTTGTGTAGAGAAGACTTGGAACAGAGTGGGTGTTTGTGTAGAGAAGACTTGGTACAGAGGGGATGTTTGTGTAGAGAAGACTTGGAACAGAGGGGGTGTTTGTGTAGAGAAGACTTGGAACAGAGGGGGTGTTTGTGTAAGAGAAGACATGGTACAGAGGGGGTGTTTGTGTAGAGAAGACTTGGTACAGAGGGGGTGTTTGTGTAAGAGAAGACTTGGAACAGAGGGGGTGTTTGTGTAGAGAAGACTTGGTACAGAGGGGGTGTTTGTGTAGAGAAGACCTGGTACAGAGGGGCTGTTTGTGTAAGAGAAGACATGGTACAGAGGGGATGTTTGTGTAGAGAAGACTTGGTACAGAGGGGGTGTTTGTGTAAGAGAAGACTTGGAACAGAGGGGATGTTTGTGTAGAGAAGACTTGGAACAGAGGGGGTGTTTGTGTAGAGAAGACTTGGTACAGAGGGGGTGTTTGTATAGAGAAGACTTGGTACAGAGGGGGTGTTTGTGTAGAGAAGACTTGGTACAGAGGGGGTGTTTGTGTAGAGAAGACTTGGTACAGAGGGGGTGTCTGTGTAGAGAAGACCTGGTACAGAGGGCGTGTTTGTGTAAGAGAAGACATGGTACAGAGGGGGTGTTTGTGTAGAGAAGACTTGGTACAGAGGGGGTGTTTGTGTAAGAGAAGACTTGGAACAGAGGGGATGTTTGTGTAGAGAAGACTTGGAACAGAGGGGGTGTTTGTGTAGAGAAGACTTGGAACAGAGGGGGTGTTTGTGTAAGAGAAGACTTGGAACAGAGGGGATGTTTGTGTAGAGAAGACTTGGAACAGAGGGGGTGTTTGTGTAGAGAAGACCTGGTACAGAGGGGCTGTTTGTGTAGAGAAGACTTGGTACAGAGGGGGTGTTTGTGTAAAGAAGACTTGGTACAGAGGGGATGTTTGTGTAGAGTAGACTTGGAACAGAGGGAGTGTTTGTGTAGAGAAGACTTGGTACAGAGGGGATGTTTGTGTAGAGAAGACTTGGAACAGAGGGGCTGTTTGTGTAGAGAAGACTTGGTACAGAGGGGGTGTTTGTGTAAGAGAAGACATGGTACAGAGGGGGTGTTTGTGTAGAGAAGACTTGGTACAGAGGGGGTGTTTGTGTAAGAGAAGACTTGGAACAGAGGGGATGTTTGTGTAGAGAAGACTTGGAACAGTGGGGGTGTTTGTGTAGAGAAGACCTGGTACAGAGGGGCTGTTTGTGTAGAGAAGACTTGGTACAGAGAGGGTGTTTGTGTAAAGAAGACTTGGTACAGAGGGGATGTTTGTGTAGAGTAGACTTGGAACAGAGGGAGTGTTTGTGTAGAGAAGACTTGGTACAGAGGGGATGTTTGTGTAGAGTAGATTTGGAACAGAGGGAGTGTTTGTGTAGAGAAGACTTGGTACAGAGGGGGTGTTTGTGTAGAGAAGACTTGGTACAGAGGGGGTGTTTGTGTAAGAGAAGACTTGGAACAGAGGGGGTGTTTGTGTAGAGAAGACTTGGTACAGAGGGGGTGTTTGTGTAAGAGAAGACTTGGTACAGAGGGGGTGTTTGCGTAAGAGAAGACTTGGAACAGAGGGGGTGTTTGTGTAGAGAAGACTTGGTACAGAGGGGGTGTTTGTGTAGAGAAGACTTGGTACAGAGGGGGTGTTTGTGTAAGAGAAGACTTGGTACAGTGGGGATGTTTGTGTAGAGAAGACTTGGAACAGAGGGGCTGTTTGTGTAGAGAAGACTTGGTACAGAGGGGGTGTTTGTGTAGAGAAGACTTGGTACAGAGGGGGTGTTTGTGTAAGAGAAGACTTGGAACAGAGGGGGTGTTTGTGTAGAGAAGACTTGGTACAGAGGGGGTGTTTGTGTAAGAGAAGACTTGGTACAGAGGGGATGTTTGTGTAGAGAAGACTTGGTACAGAGGGGGTGTTTGTGTAGAGAAGACCTGGTACAGAGGGGGTGTTTGTGTAGAGAAGACTTTGTACAGAGGGGGTGTTTGTGTAGAGAAGACCTGGTACAGAGGGGGTGTTTGTATAGAGAAGACTGTGGAGGCTGTGTGCCATTTTCACCTTTAGTGACATCACAAATATTCAGCGAGGCACAATATATCATACATTCATTCAAAGTACTTGACTATATTTTTGGTGACATATTTCCATTTTTCTGGTTCACTTAGGTAGAAAATATGTAGCTATGTAACTGACCAATACATGTTCCATTGTGATGACACTTGATATAGTTGACTCTGGTGTTGTCCTGGTTGTAGGTGGGCAGGCACTCCCCGGTTTCCGGGTCACAGGTCGCGGAACACTCAAGCCAGCAGGTGGAGTGGCAGTCTAGATGCCCGCGTTTGTCATGACCCCAGGAGAATCGTAGACATGACAGACACTGATCATCTAGGCACTCTCGGCAATAAAAGGGGCAATCTGAAATTTCAACAATGTTTTACTCTAACAAGGTCTTTGTGTATCTTATGAATACCACAGCATTATACTGTATAGAGGTCTTTAATAAGTGGTCAAATTGGTTTTTTTTTCACTGAGGATAAATAGCATGAGATGTTTCAAGAAGTTGGGGTGTTAAAATACTTGCCTGACCAGGGACATTTGACTGCCACACAAAATGTTCTATTTAACATGTTTAAGATTTGTCTAAGATGCAAAATTAAGCAGGAAAGACAGTGTCCTTAAAAATGTACCCTTGAAGCTTTCAACAAAGGAGAAGCAGAATAATATTTCAGATTATGGACATGATGGAAAGACCTAGATTCTTTGCTGCTGCCATCTTCAACCATGTTACTCACTCGTACCTTCCATCAATCTGTCCACTGTCCATTACATCTGTTGCTTAGTACATATTGTAAATATTACAGAAAGACAAGGTCAATTATTTGAGTACAGATTCAATTATTCTTGAGTTAATCTTATCTGAAAAGTTGGTATTTCTATATACAGTTGGGTATGTAAGTACAAGCCCTATTTTGCATGCTTATTAAAAACCTGGGCAACCATACTGTCTGGAAATTCTGCAAAGGTTTGGTTTGGTTTCTTGTTTAATGCCGCACTCAGCAATATTCCAGCTATATGGCTATCTGTAAAATATCGAACCTGGACCAGACAATCCAGTGATTGATATCATGAGCATCGATCCACGCAATTGGGATATGATGACATGCATCAACCAAGACACCGAGCCTGACCACCCGAGCCTGACCACCCGATCCCGTTAGTTCTGCAAACACACATTCAGAAACTCACACTAGTTAGATCTAACAAAATGTGAGTGACTTATAAATAATAAAAACAGACAGTTGTGAATGCTGGGCAGTTTGTGAACAGTGATCACTGGCTTGTGATACAGTATTTACATCAAAACATTCCCCTCTCTGGGTATGTAAGCCCACATCATTCAAAGTATACTTATGTACACCAGTGTCTTAATCTCAGAATATTTGTTTGTCAAAAAGAACCAGTGACTAAAGGGATGGTGTCAATCCAGCTTGGGAACCGTGTAGGTAGCTGATGTACCGTAGGTCCCCATGGTCCCCAGTATGGTGACCTTTAGTTGCTTGTGATCAATAGCCCATTTTTATTATGTATTGTTATGAATAGTCATATTTTATGGTTACATGCTAGTTTTACATACAAAATCTTTGATACTCTAGTTGTTTTACTGTCCATTGTCGGCAGGTTTTTAAATAGTTTATATCAATATATTATTAAATGTATACATTCCCTCATCATGATATGGCTGAAATATTGCCAGTGTGATGTTAAATAATAACTCCTCACTATTATCTAAACTCTTAACGTAGAAATATAATATTAATAAATAATAATATGGGTTTGCCTCTGGTCATTTGGCTGTCCAAGGTGCCTATGGGACATACCTGTTTCATGAAGTCTGGCATGTTTGAGGCATTTCTTTTCCAGAAAACAGATCCTTTCTACATGTATTATACTTGGATCAAAATTGATCTTCCAAGTTTTGCTTTTAGTCCATACTGATGTCACATACACGGCTAACATATGTTTCTACATGGAGTGGAGCCCATACTGAGGAAGGAAAAGACAGCTTGAAATGACAAGGGTGAAAACTATAATTTGGGACCGTCTAATGCACACAACTTGGGGCTCAAGTCACCATAACATTGTGTGACAATGGGATTAAATTGGTATAAAGGTCAAGAACTTCTTTTATAATAAATTCATTTGTGGGGCTGTCATAAACACAAGACCTTCAAAAATATACCAAGAAACAGGCTATTTATTGTCAAACAGCTGTCAAACTAAAAACGTTCCACAAAATGTTCAAAGCAACAATATACTTAGCCGATCTTGTTTAGCTAAACATGACAACTACGCATATGATACAGGGTTTTACGCAATGCACAAATGTGCATCAAGTATGCACAAATGAAGAGCATGGAAGCAGAAAAGAATGATACAGCGTCCCAAGGGACCCACAACAACATTCATTGTACCGACAGTGCATCAAGAGCAATTATGTTTGTTTGTTTGTTTGTTTTACGCCGCACTCAGCAAAATTCCAGCTATATGACTGCGGTCTGTAAATAATCCAGTCTGGACCAGACAATCCAGTGATGGACATCATGAGCATCGATCCACGCAATTGGGATTGATGACATGCATCAACCAAGTCAGCGGGCTTGACTACCTGATGCTGTGAGTCACCTCTTATAACCAGCATAGTCGCCTTACGGCAAGCATGGGTTGCTGAAGACCTATTCTACCCCGGATCTTCACGGGTCAAGAGCAGTTATGGGCGTCTGTTATTTTACCCATCAATCAAAACCACTGTCAACATGATCACTAATTCATTCCAGGCTCTACAGTAATTATCTAAAGGTATAGTACACCACACCATTTCATTACTTTACAGGACGTTCATATTGCCTGCAAGGACCCATAAAATTTATTACTGGTGGTGCCCTGCACCCCCACTTTTGTAAGACAAGGTAAAACCCTGATAATACTACGTCATCCTCAACCTTCAGTTTGTAACATGACGCCAATGACAAGGATCCCTGGACTTACTTCCTGAATTTCAGACACTGACACCCATAGAAATCGTGGCTGTCAAATGAAATCTTTGAATCAGAGTTGTCAGTTGGTCATTGTGATTAGAAACCTCTGATTGACTAATGAGAATTGAGTGTTTTCCAAATACACATGGTAGAATGGTAACTTTAAGCGACATTCATTCACCTAGGGCAAGCAAACCACTACCATACTTGCTGAATATGTGCCACAGGCTCTTAGAAAATTCACAAAGAGGGACACTAATTACAACCATACATAACAAGTTAAATTGGTTTTCAGAGATTGTGATCTAGCAAACAAACTCAGCTCTAATGTCGATCAAATTAAAACTTTTTCAATGATAGAAAATATGGACTGTCATGTCAGTGTTCTGTCTTAATAGTAGGGGGCGCTTATAATGATTGGGTACTTATTTAAGACGGTTTCTTACCACAGCGAATACAGTAATTCATTTCAGCTTAAAATATTAAACCAAGCATCAGCATGATTAGATGTTTGTTTCATTTAGATTTATCAGTCAGCTCTAACACAGTGTACAAACTGCCTGTGTGACCTCCTAATTGCCCCATGTCCAGAAGCTGTAGGCTGATTGGCCAAGCTGACACCTGAGTTGACCTGTTGTTAACATGCATGCTTTGATACCCTGCATACATTCTCAGCACATGACAGACCTGCACAGATCGGCCTGTGTAAAGTTGCCATCTCAAATCAGGTGAGTTATATGTCCATAATCTTAAATTAATTGCGTTGTATTAAAATAAAATACAGTATGTTGAAAGTGTTTTATTAAGTAAACTATATGTAGGTAATATAATATAATTTAGGTTATGTATTTTTCTTTAAGTCTTCATAAAGTAAGCTGAACAACAACAAGCTATCACTAAAATATATTCTTATATAACTTGAATGAATGAATGAAATGTGTGAGTAAATTTTTACCTCGTTTTCCATTTGAAAAGCTTTTCAAAATAGTGTTTGTATTGTATGGATTCAGATGTAATAATGCAAATCATCATCAACAGAATGTGTGTATTTCTGTGTTCAATTTGTTAAATGTCAAATAGTGTACATAGTCTAAGTATCATTCATTCAGGTTGATGGATATGGCGTTGCCATAAGTGTGGCAGCTGGGGATTACGCCTTGTATACAGTGTTGATATTGTTTATATTTGTGTACAACTTCATGTATATTCACAGGTAATATTACACATCATTCTGTCTCAAAGTATTGCATATGTTTATAATACAGAATGGGTAAGTGTAATGTCTTAATCTTTCATATAGTCAATACCGCAGTCATATACTTCAGTGTGAAAGACTGAGTTTCCAGAAGTTGAGAAAAGTGATATTTTAATTGCACAGAACATAACACTTGATATTTCACTGCTGTGAACATAACACTTGACATTTCACTGCTGTGAACATAACACTTGACCTTTCACTGATGTGAACAGAACACTTGATATTTCACTGCTGTGAACATAACACTTCCATGGAACTATTGTCAAACAGGAGTTACCTCCCCTTAAATTGTCTACCTTTGTCATAAGACATAAGACTAGCCCGTCCACAAACTGTTGGCATTCTTTTTACTTAAGTCCACATTGACAAGGAAAAGTAATGACAGATAGTCTTTTATGGAGTTAATATCACTTCTTGCAGTTTGTTATTCTCTTGAAAAAGTTTCCTAATAAACTTTAAATTTCTCATTTAACTCGTCAATCGAGACTGTTCGTTTTGCAAAGCGCCAGGTTTGTTCCTTGACCAGCATGTATTCTTTTGCTTCCAACAGCGGTCTCCTAGTTTTCAAGAATATCTTTTGTTAAAGTTGATTCTGTATATAATCATATCTAAATGTATGATGAAGAATTTTCGTGACCCCAAATATATTTTGATACTTTTGTTTATATTTTTTTAAGATTTTGCAAACACGTAACTACTTTTTAATCGCAAATACAAGGGGTGGTCAACCGTCGATGTGTGTTAGGTAGTGAGAATTTACGTTTCAAGGTTTTACATTTGTAATTAAAAAAATTAATTTTCTGGTAGACAACTACACAAAAAGTATATAATAAATAAAATATTCCACGTGTCGAGTGAAATATCATGTTTCTCTTATCTTGTGACAGGGGGGATGAGGAGATATTTTCACTTGTGGCCAATATCACCTTTCCCCGTCACTCGATGAGAGAAACATGATATTTCACTCGACACATGACATTTCCTTTATGTATTGTGTAGTATGTTCATTACTATAGAGGCTATACTATACATGCCCACTGAAGATACGACTGTTTACTAACAAGAAGCTGGTACTACACAGCATTTAATACCAAAGTGTATGTTTATATGTGCTGTTGGAA